CAGGCGGTGCTGGCCAGTGACTACTCCTTCTCCCAGTTCAGATTCCTGCAGCGCCTCCTGTTGGTGCACGGCCGCTGGTCCTACCTGCGCATGTGCCGTTTCCTCTGCTACTTCTTCTACAAGAACTTTGCCTTCACCATGGTGCACTTCTGGTTCGGCTTCTACTGTGGCTTCTCGGCACAGGTCAGAGGATAGAGCTCGTGAGACTACTCAAGGACATTGATCAGGGGGTAGAAAAGGGTAATCACTTTCAATGTGTTTGTGTGCATCTCCTCTATCTTTTAGACGGTGTACGATCAGTACTTCATCACTCTCTACAACATTGTCTACACCTCCCTCCCTGTGCTGGCCATGGGGATATTTGACCAGGTCTGTTCAAGCATAGTCACTGTGCATAGTTTGTGCTTACTTTAAATAGAAGAAGAAATCTAATAAATAACTATTAGGAACTAGGTCGCAAAAAAAAGACGATTATGTTTATTTCTGTAGTTATGACCACAACATAGCAGGCTTGACTTGTTTCAGTAATTGCAGCTCCTCACTTCCTCTCCTCTTGTAGGACGTTCCTGACCAGAGGAGTCTGGAGTATCCTAAATTGTACGAGCCCGGGCAGCTCAACCTCCTGTTCAACAAGAGAGAGTTCTTCATCTGCATCGCCCAGGGCATCTACACCTCAGTGGTGCTGTTCTTCGTCCCCTGTGCCATCCTGTCCGACGCCACTCAAAGCACAGGTGTGCCCCTCGCTGACTACCAGACCTTTGCGGTCACCACGGCAACAGCCCTGGTCATTGTGGTCAGCGTTCAGGTGAGAAGGTGTTAGATTTCCTCAAAGCTACCAAAGTGAACGGTCTGTTCCGTGCTGGAGCATTAACCGGCCTGTTCCTCTGTTTGTGTAGATCGCTCTGGACACAGGCTTCTGGACTGTTATCAACCATGTGTTTGTGTGGGGCTCGCTGGGCTTATACTTCTCCATCATGCTCGCTCTGCAAAGCCAGACCCTCTTCGGGATCTTTCCCAACCAGTTCCACTTTGTAGGTTGGTGTCCTGTTGTCTTTAATTGTCGGTTACACACAAAACGGCCTGACCAATATAATATAGCAATTTCCAATCAATATTTTTGTATCACATTTCTCAATTGTAGTAGTAATGTTATCATAATGTCAAGAATTGCAAGTTCTGACCCAGGCACAGGCAATGATTCAGTAAACAAAAGAAAACTTACATTCCAAATTAGGCAAAAAAGGTCCAAAAAAGGTCCAGCAGGTAGGTGATAGGTAAATCCAAATGTTAACCAGCAAAGCAACACACTGGATCACAACTGGACCTCAAACGATTTAAACTAAAAGCAAAGAAACAGGAGAAACAATGAGAAGGGAGCCCTAAGACTAAACACACAAGGAATGAAGGGAACTGGTGACAGCAGAACCAATGAGGAAGAGGTGAAACAATCAGGGATAAGCCAACAAATACACAGGCGGGAAAACGAGGAGAGTGAGTAAAACAACCCACCGATAAAATAACAGACAAAAGAGCCAAGGAGCATGACAAGATAGCACTGAGGAGGATGTTGTCAAAGTGACAGTTAACCTGTATCATTCAAAAAAGTATACTACTAATTATAAAGATGAAACCATGAAAAGGTCAATAGGGTCAAATAAACATACAATTCTATTAAACATGTAGGCACCTGTTTGTATAAATGAAGGATATCTAAGTCATGTCCTGTGGTGCTGAAACAATTATACACCAGTGAGTTCATTATGTAAAGATGTCTAATATCTGTGTGCTTGCAGTGTTTGGGAAATGCTGTAAAATCCTGAGACATATTTGCTCATGTTTGTTTATGTGTTTGTGATTGCAGGTAGTGCCCAGAGCACGTTGTTGCAACCAGTCGTGTGGTTAACTATTGCGCTGGCGACAGCAATATGCATAGTTCCAGTTTTGGCATTCCGCTTCCTTAAGGTGGATCTCAAACCTCAGCTCTCAGACACGGTGAGAAAATACACACAAAAACAAAGTTTCTGATGTGTCCATCTTGTTCGTTGGAACATGTGTCAGTGTTGCATCATCCCTACAGGTCAGTTTAAAACAAGCCAATGATTAACTTCTCACGTACAAACAGTTCATCTGAGTGTGTGTGTAATGATGAGTTCATTCTTACCGTCCTTAAATACTCTGTAAATATTGACTAAATTAGCCCAGTTACACCAGTGACTTAGTCTTACATCATATAAGCTCGGCTTTCAACCTGAGCTGCTGCTAAGGTGGTGTGAAAAATACCCTTTTTTGATTATTTTTTTGTCACTATTACTTGTGTCTGTCCTGGATATAAATTAAAGTTGTAAAGTACAAATAGGTTTGAGTATGGACTAGAATAACGATCAGATGGAGAAGAAAGAATAGAAGAATGAAGCAACCTTAAAGTAACAATTTCCCATTTGCTTAGCTTGGTACAAAGGCTGAAAACAGAATCAAACTGCCTAATTAAATTGAAAAAATCTCCTCTGCTCCATCTCCAGGTGCGCTACACTCAGCTGGTGCGGCAGAAGAAGAGAAAGCCGGCAGGTCGCAGTGTGGGCGGAGCCTGGCGGGGGGTGGGCAGTGTGTCGGAGGGCCGTCTGGGCGCCCGAGGCAGCTCCAGGAGGTCGGGCTACGCCTTTGCCCACACGGAAGGATTTGGAGAGCTGATCACCTCAGGGAAGAACATGAGGCTCTCCTCTCTGGCCATGGCCACCTTCGCCTCCAGACACAGCTCCAGCTGGATCGACACGCTGCGCAGGAAGAAACATTCTCACACTAACACCCCCCCCAGCGCCTCGGGGGAGAGCAGCCCAGCACCCAGCTGTGTCTCTGGGTCCATCCCGCCGCTCTCTAACTCCTCGTCTGTTCTGTGTGGCTCACAAGATGCACCCATAGAGGAGGAGACAGGAGCAGCCCCCGACACACAGACTGCCTCCACCTCATCCACACAGAACCCACCAGCTCCAGCACTAGCTTCAGAAGCAGCTGATGGTTCAGCCCAGACCCTCAATGCTGGTGTCCTCACCCCCGCAGCATTGAGGTCCCAGGGGGGAGACTCACCTGGAGGCTGGACGATAAGTCTGGGTGCCGTGCAGGTAAACTGCTGTTACTTCATGTGTCACTAACAAAAAATGAAACAGGTACAACAAATCTTACACAATTAACACAACTGTCCCTCTCTCCTACAGGAAGCTCTGTTGAGATGGAAGGGTCGAGCCTCTGCATCCAACAGCCCGGTGAAACTAGCAGAATAAATGGAGGAAAATCATGTCCACTGCTATCCATCACATGTTTACACACACATACAGGATGTGTGTGTTTTCCTGGAGATACTGATAAAAAAGCTCCCCACTCAGTGTTCTCCTCTCCCAACTAAAGCTTCTACAATAAATCGACTAAATCCATATCATAGGAACAGGTGGCACAATGTAGCAACATGGACATAGTCCTACTATGAATTGTGATGTTATGATGATATACATGTTCCAATGATAACTGTGTTCATGAATGACTACAAGATCAAGGTATTTAAAGAATTAGACTGAAGGAAAGCAGCAGATGCGATAACAGATTACTTACTATTAAGGATCTAAAAGATTGTTTCCACTTGTTATTTCAAGTTTAGCCTCACTCACAAACAAGTCTCGCAGAATCTCTCTTAATCAGCAATGGGTAGAATGAAGGAGCAGAACGATAAGACTTTCAATCAGCAAAGTGGAGGCAATATTTTCTGTAGAACTGTTTTTTGTTAAAAGCTTTACGTTCACTATAGTTCTCAGTGAGAACGGTACTTTACGTTACAGGACACTGCAAGATGTTGCAACACTTGTGTCTCTTTTCTCCTATGTATCTGTTTTTTTACTTGATATACCCCTACTTCACATGTTTTCCTTTTTTTGCATCATATTGATGTGTTTTATAATGGCCTAGTTGACCTTTAAGCAAGCCAAAGCATTTTATTTGTCGGACAAAGGGCCAGATCATGTTAATGTACCTCTGATGTAAATGTATTTCACCACCCTAGAAAGAACAAACTACCACTTGCTTACTGTAGGCATTAACAGACATCTAAACGTAATTTGTCAAACATTGTACACTTAAGTATAGTGTTGCAACATGTTTATTTGTCCGCAAATAAAGGGAATGTATTTTGGGATAATGATGCTTTAACAATGCCAACATTTTGGTCGTTTAAACTCTTTCTGTTTCCTGATCCATAAAACAAGTACGACATCCCATCTGTGTTGCAAATGTTCCTGTCAATCGCTGACCCCTGTCCACGACTGGGGTGAGATTATAAGTAAAGTAACCAGATGAACAATGTGAACTTGTGCTAGGATCTGTACCTACACTACAGTCTTCGATAAATCATCTCCTTAGTGGAAATACAACAGAATGCAAACATGATCTGCAAAACTAAGGCCAGAAATGAATGTACTGAACAGTATCTGGCCCCATGGATTGTCAAAGCACGGGTCAGCTGTGGTCAATAAACATGTCAGCTCTCTTTCAAATACTGTAAGAGGAACCAACTGTGTCCATGCAAACGATTTTTAAAGAAGAAATCAAAGTGCAAGAAAGAAATGACTACCTCTGGTGTGGCACCAAAATAACTCACAATTTGAGATTATTTTCAACAACAGAAGTTTAACCACATAAAAATGTATTTAATTTAACTCTAGTTTATCAAAGTAAACCATCACTGTCTACTGGTGGAGGGGACATTTTAAATTGAAATAAATAAAAAAATGCAACATTTTCAAGACTGTAAAAAACTGTTGATAGAATAAAGTGTTTGAAAAAGAATTTAAAAAAAAACACTGATTACAACTTGAGTATGAATATTATAATAGCAGGGCTATATTCAGCTTTCATTGGGGTTTTATTTTTGACACTCAGGAGGATTTCCTCTGTGCAACAGGCTGAACAAGGGGAAGAGAGCTGGGATTTCACAATAACGGGTCTTCTGACAGCGGACTGCTGAAACCAGAGGCGGCCGGTAACTGCTTTGAGAAGGAGGACCGTCAGATGTTGATCATGTGAAGTTTGATGGGAGTCACAACGGTCTCCGATGCTTGTGAGTGATGGTGTGAGGACTCGGTGAAGGGAGACTTTTGCGCAAAAATGCGGATTTTTCTCCCTTTGCTGTGTGCTCTGTGCGCCACACCGGTCCACGGTATTTTCGACGGGACCTGTCCCAAAAAAGGTAAGCTACCAGATTTCATTTATACAGCCAAAAAAACGTGTTGTACGGTATCGGTGAGACGTCAAAAACAGTGTGGTAAATACTTTGAAAAGTGGAACATTTTACGAACTCACTAACTAACCTTTTAAGTGTTAAAAGCAATTGTGTTTTTGTTTGCTAACCTCATTACCACAGGAGCTATTGAGACTATCATTATGTATTGATTTGACTTTAATAAGATTAGACAGATTAAACTGAACTCTGTAGCAGCCTGCTTTATTTCACTTGAGCATAAAGTGCATAGATTAGCAAAAGTTTTTATTTATTTTACAGATCGAATTTCCGATCACATTTACAGAACATGAACATATTTACAAATCATTCAATCAATACTCTTCCTTGTTTTAGACTTTTTTTTTTTAAATACGTTTTATTTATTTATCTTTCTAAATTAAGGGAATCTAACTATTAGCAGCATACCAATAAGTGTGCTGCCAACACTCTGCACACCAATCTGCACTATTAATGTGCTTTCACAACCTTGGTTGTGTTTGTTAAGCTGGACTCAAACTGGAGGAAGGAGGGGATGTAGTTGGTTTTACTTTTTTTAAACATATCTTCACTCAAATGATCCTAATTGCTGATCAGGCAAATCCAATGTTACAGTCTAAATATATAAACCTAAACACTGCTCATACATTAGTGGATTTGCTTTTCTGCCTTGTCTGTATAGCTTCTATTCTAAAATATCTGATGTACAGGCAAAAGGCAAAACAAATCAGAGTAAAGGACAAGAGTGTTTGTACTAAAAGGGCAATGAACTACTCTCGTCAGGCCAGTCGAGTCCAATCTGGAGGCTTTACACACACAGATACAGCATAGCCTTTCTGAAGGAGCAAATGACTGTGAGTTTGAGAGCAATCACAAAATCTGCATAATTAGGGGATGTCAGAGATGTAAATGTGAGATGTGACCCGATACATGATCAGGGACAGAAAAAGAAACCATAAAGAAAAGACACTTTAAAAGAGGAAGTTCAAAAGGAGTTGGTATTTTTGGTTATGCAACAATGCATCCTATCTTTGCTGTGCCAACCAATACTCATGGCAGAAGCACTTTTTTTATGTGCAAAAGATTAAGGAAGCCCTGAGAGGCAATTAAGTAGAAATCTGCAAATCGATTTTTAAGACAGATCTAAATGATTTTCTCTTCTTTGTTAATAGCTGAGGCCAGTGCGGATCTAGACAATTTTACATGGGGTGGCAAAGGGGTGGCAAGAGGTGTTGGCAGGGGGGCAGGCCTCACCTCGCAGAGGGGGCCTCATCTGATGGGCAAATGCGGCGCACTTCAGCTTATGCGCAAATGCCGCGCAATCAAGCACGCCACAGTTTCGCCGCTGCGAAGCTCCGGCGCTTGCAGTTCACGCGTGTGCTCCAATAGCAGCACCCCACCCCCCCCCCCCCCCCCCGACGCTCGCGACACAGAGGGCCTCATCACATAACTGTGCGTGGGGCCACAAGTTGGCCAGGGGCAGCCTTGCAGGGGGGCATGGGAGGATGGATGAATCCACTACACAAAACATTAAAACACAAATATACATATATGTATTGTTATAGTATCACAAAAGGAACATGCCCAGTGATCAAACAAAACAAGACTGTGCATATTTTAAAACATAAAAGTTTCAGCAAAATGAAAATAATACAAGAATTACAATAATTTCTCGATAAAAAATATAAAACGTCAGGCAAAATACAAGTAGTACAAATCACTAATACAATAAGATGCATTTGTACATCTTTACGCAAGTAATCCTATATACAGTAACACATAAAACAGAAAGTAGGAATTAACATGTTATTTTACATTACGTTGTATGTGAGTGACATGCCTTGCTATGCTACTGTAATGGATGGGGAATAAAAACATACCATGTGGTCCAGCTAGAATGGTAACTGCCTCCCTGCCCTCTGCCTCCTTATCACTTCCTGCCTCTGTCCCTCTCTTCTTAATTTCTCACATCCACTTCCTCTCTATCCATATCTTCATCTCCTTCTGTGGCCTTCTCATGTTCTGACCCTCCTGATCTCTCCAGTGTACTCTCCTCTCCTTTTTAATTTCCCTCTCTCTTGTCCTCATTTTCAGTTCTCTGACTTTTTGTGCTAAAAAAATAAGCGATATTCCCTTTTCTTTTCATTTTTTGTCGAACAACTACAGGTACTCTGGCCTGCAAAAGTCAAGATGTGAAGCACTGGTTAAAATCCTCGTAATACATTACACTGTCTGGCCATTTAGAAATTCAATAAACTTAAATTAAATCAGAAAAGTAAAAATCATTAAAGCTTGTGTTCAGACTATTTACTCAAATTGTATTTTCTCAGTTTGACGGCACACATCTATTTACAGTCTATGCGGTAAACGTTTGCGATGTAACTTGTTTTAATTTGTTAATTTGTGCTGTGACATGTAAATGTTGTGGCAATTTAGCACTCACAACAGGAAAGAATGAAACAGAGAGGAATCAATAAAACACAAACACAGATATAGTTGATCAATTATTATTTCGTTGTACAACAATCAATAATAATGAGGAAAACATTACCTTTGCTCTCAAGCAGTGATAGTAATGCTCCCTCGAATATCAGAAACACATGGCAGATATACGTTTTCTAAATGACACACGAACATGTTCCCTAATCATGTTTAATGCACACACATTGTCAGGTCTCCTAAACTTGGACGCACCAACATCAGAGCAACATGTAAGTTCCAGATGTCGAAAGGTCATTATCTCATGACGTCTTTAGGAGTCTTGCAGGATATGAATGATCCAATTAACAAACTATATATACGTCTGCACATGAGCACACATACATTTCTTTACATTAACTAACACACCAACATCCTTATCGTTTCTTAGCTAATGCATGCTGGATATGAACCACTAACTAACAAGACTTTAACGGCCCGTCCACACAGCGGCGTGCGTTGAAAGCTTCACCATTCACTTTGAATGGGGTGACGTCACTTTTCGCCGAACTGCATTGTGGGAAGCGTTAATGTTTTAGGGGCTTTAGGTTACTCTTAAAATAAAAATAGGTCAATGTATTGCTTGTTATAATGAATTGAGAAGGTTGTGGACATAGTGGTGTTTCGATTTACTCATAACAGTTTTTAAGAACCAAAAAGTTAGGGGGGCAGCTGGGGGGTAGATCGCCCCTGGCTGAGGCACATCACATGTATACAAATAGACCTACATTTTCCTTTCAGGAGAGTTTTCATTGCTCCATGCACTCACATGTTAGATGTATTGTGTTTTAGCAAATTCCTGTTATGTAGGGTAGGGCGTATCAAGAGAAAGTATGTAATTTGCAACAAAAAAAAGAAGGATTACATTAAAAACAAACATCTTACTGATGATCAGAGGGTGCTACACTTTAGCCTCTTCTGGCTAAAATGTGTATTACAACAACACACAGGAAAAAAGTATGCTGAAAATCTTCTTTCCCCAAATTTAGATTGTCCTGGCCAACATTTCCCGCCTGCTCTTAAGTCTGAAAATGATTTTGATTAGACTTAGAAAAGGAAAAACGATCATTGAGTTTTCGCATTTGCCTCTTCCGTAAAGCAAGTTCAGACATTCACAATTCAAGACAGCCAGCACACATAGAGTAGTTTATATTAGCTCTGTAATCGTGTTTTTTTTTTTTGCAGACCCTCCCCCTGGTGTGTTGGTTTTATATCAAGGCAGTAAGTTGGTTTTGAGCTGCAGCGGTCATGTGGAGGCGGATGGAGTAAAGGTCAGAGGAGGGAGTTCTTCTGATGAAAATCGAACCCTCTGTTAACAATATAAGCAGCACTGAAGCTTTGATGAAAAGTGCCAAACCTAATGTGGAGAATACTGTGGGTGAAGGATACCACTCTAACACGACTGAGCAGGAGAAAGCAAGAGCCTCAAACATCAGCAAACAGCTTACACAGCTTCTCCGAGCACTCCCACGGTCTGGGAGACTGGAGATTATGAGGAGGAGGAGGGTGAGGATGGGAGCAGAGTAACAGGAGCATAAAGCCGAGGCTACAGTGGAAGTGGAACGGGAGGATCGTGGGAAAAGGAGGCAGGGACTGGGGTGGAATCAGCTTGAGAGGAGAGGGTCTTCCACTGTCTCTGTCCTCAGTGAGACTGTCGGACTCCGGCAGGTTCACGTGTTACCACAGAGGCAGAGAGAGGTTCTCCCTAAAGGTCAAGGTGCAGGTAGGTCACAACATCAATGAGCTGTAACGGATGATTGAAGTTATCGAGTGTCAATGTTATCCATGCCATATTTGCCCTTCCATTTGTCTTAATTGAGAAAATGAAACGAAAAGTTTAACCATAGTGGCGGTTTTCTATACACGATACAGTGTGAGTAAGACATTGCAACATGGCATACTTTTCTGCATTTAAAACATCTTTAAATAGGTTTTTGGTTTGCTTCTCTTTTTATTTTCCCTTTTGATGGGAACTTTTTTGCTTTTGCTTGTTGGTTTTACACAAGTGTAATGTTGGACTCTGGGAATTATTCATTCTAGCTGAGCAGAAATAGTATTACATATAGTTTCATTTATACATTTGAGTTTTAGCGTACCAGCAGATGAGGGGATTAACCATATTTTTGATGAACATATAATTAGGAAACAATTAACTGACTGAATGACTTGAATAATGTACAATATCATTGCCCCTCTTCTGTTAGATCCTCCAGAGACCCCCCAGCTGTCCTGCTACAAAAGTCCCCCAGCAGTAAGATTCGCTGTGAGTGGGCCCCTCAGAAGCCCTTCACTATCTTCCCCTAAACTGCTCCCTCTTCCTCAGTAAAAGGTAAAGACACTTACAGTATAATTTAATATTGAATAACTTATACATGTGTGAGAAAATAGTAAAGTTTATATTTAGACCCTGTATCACCTAACATGTCCAAACTCAAGGCCCGCGGGCCAAATCCACGCCCATGGTGGATTTCTTTTCGGCCCGCAGAATAATTTCTAATTACTATTAGATCTGGCCCGCCTGGTATATATGCACGCACACCTTCACTCATCATGAGGATTTCCTCAGCTCAGAGCCTGACCCCAACATTGATGAACTTGCATCCAAGATGAGATGCCAAGTATCTGGCTAAACTAGCATCACAGAGCAGCACACCTGAGTTTTAAATGGATGTTTCCTTTTTGCACTTTTTTTTCTTGCAACAATGAAAACAATGCAACAATGAAAATGTAATCATAAGAAATGACTCCGAAAAGAAAGGAATGCATGCAACTGATTTTCATTTATTTAATGTTTCAGATGCCTTGCCTTATTTAAGCTTGTTTAGTTCCAGGTTTAATATGTGCAATAAGTCATTTCAATAAGTTTTTGCAATAAACATTGAACCAGTCCGGCCCTCGACTAGTACCGATTTTAAATGTTGGCCCACTGTGTATATGAGTTTGACACCCCTGACCTAACCTGTAGATCACATTAGGTGTGTAAGCAGGTCCCTTTACACATTTGATGAGCTATAAATAATTGGAATGTATCCCTCTTGGAGATCTTTTCAAGTGATATCTATTAGAATAAAGATTAAAGGTTAACCAGAATGGGACACTTTATGATGAAAGTATATGCTTGCTGAAATGTTGCTGTTCAAAACATTTCAACAGTTGAAGCGAAAGTGCTTTGAGGAGTTTCGGAGTAGGCACTGAATGAAGTAACAATTAAATAAAAATCCTAAATGGAATGAAAATAAGGTTAAGTTGAATTTCGAACCATTATAAGCAGGGTTACACTGTGTGAGATTTACCAGCTACCAATTACTTCACACTGGACGATGTTAAACCACAGCAAAACAGAAGTTTCATATACCACAGGAAGTTGTGTTATTTATGTCTTTATATCTAACCCATCTATGTGCTGTGTGAAACTGTTTTTTTTCTTTCCTTCTTTTTGAATTTTTTGCTCGCAGCGCGACAAGTCCTTTCTTCATTTGCAGTGCTCATACTCCTCTAAGCACTCCCGCTGTTGGTGTGCTCTGGATCACAATGACGACGAGCTGAGAAGCAATTACATGGCCTACTTGTGCGTCACAAGCATGGGCAGGCAACGCCACCAGCTCACTGCTTTCATTCATGCCTCTGAGCATATGTAGGTTTGTGTGTGTTGACGCAATATGTGTTTGGTGAAATGTATGGGTAATTAAAGCACTCATTCTATTCCTTCCTGCTCCCTCAGTGAAGCCCGACCCTCCATCAGGTGTGTCAGTCCGACAGGAGGAGGGACAGAGATGAGGATGACGGTCACCTGGAGTTTGTCCGATCTCTGGAAGTCTCAAGACAAGCTTTTATAACTAATCTACGAGATCAAATACCGACCTCTCAAGTCCTTTGATCATTGGCAGGTGCATGCTAGAGTTTTTTTAATATGTGTGTGTGTGTTTGCTTGCTACAGTTTAGTAGATTCAATATACTGTTAGCCTTCTGGCCTTAAACAGTTAACACTCAGGTGAAGACATTGTTTATTGATATGTTTTTTTCTGTAATTGGCTTTGTAGATACAGATGATTAAGGGCACACACTCATATACTATAAGAGATGCAATGCCTGGTGTTGAATACTTCATACAGCTCAGGACTAGGGAAGAGTATGATGGTCACTGGAGTGACTGGAGCACACACCGTTCTATGAAAGCAGCTGGGACAGGTAAACAAACACACACATCCACACGTAGGAATAAAAGCATTGAGTAAAACCATTTCAAAATTAGATCCTCCCATTAGCTGATACAGAACAATCCTGGGACGCAAGTGAGCATTTTTTATTTTTTTGTTGCCGGGATAATTGTTCATATTTTGTGGAAGAGACGCTTTCCCAGTTCAATTTTTCTATAAAACTTTTTTCCCATCTGTGGAAAACAGCCCAAACATATCAATGTACTGTATATACCTTGTGTTAAGAGTGCATGTGGGAAACTCACCTGCAAAGAAGACAACCTGAATTGCTTTAAGTCTTTTTGGAAACAAGCGGTGGTGAACTTCAGCCTCACCTGCCAGCTGTTTTTTACACTTTGTCCACCTTGGCTTAGTTTATAAACACAGAAGAGAAAAATAAAAATAGATCAGACAACAACAACAAACTACCTTAAATGTTCATTTTCTCACTTACCTCTCTGGCTGCTACAGTATAAACTGAGGGCTATTGTGTGGATGTTTAGTTCTCTTCTATTAGAGGAAACGTATGATATCATTATAACATATTGCTTCAGAAACATGGAAGTGGTGCTAATTAGGTGGACCTGTAAATCATTGTCCTTTCTCGCTTCAGTAATACTTGATCCTCCCTGGAAACAAAAGAAGTTAGGACAACCCGTAGAGGAAAGCTTCCCGTTTCCCTTCCTTTAAAGTTGTACATACTTTCACCTCTTTCCGTCACTTTTTTTATCCCTCTGAATAAGTGAACTCTTGTACACAGCCTTGAGTGCAGTATTATGGGATCCTGGATACATGTAGTGTTGAAATTAATATTTAAAAAGAATAAATGCTTTTTCAAATTCAAAAAATTAAATAAACCCCATTAAATTAAATTGACCATGCAACTTTTGACATCGAAGTGAAACCTCTTAAGAAAGGTTTTATCGGGATATTCTCTAACATATCCTTCTATTCTTTTCACTTTAAATCCGTCATATCTATTTGATATGTCTGACTTTTTTGGGAATGCACTGCAATAATACACTCTTACAGTACAATATGTTTATCTGATTTCATCTGTATCGATGTTTCTTCTCCTCAGCCAAACGGTCAGTGGAGTATGAGGATCTCACTGACACAACGGGTAACAGTCTAAATGTGTCTTTTGATCATTAATGCTCTCCTAACACTTTGATGCTTACAGTTGTTGTCCTGCCTCCAGTATCTACACACCGTCTCTTATGTTACCTTCTCTAACAGTTTTCAGTATACACTGAAGGCCTCTGGTGCAGATGAGGATCTGTTTGATGGTAAGAAATATAGCAGAAAGTCAAACATGTTTTTAATTAACTTATTGTGTTTGGGAGAAAAGAGGAGGGGGCTGAGAGAGTGAGAGAAAGGGAACTCTAACATTTTGTTAGTGTTGAAAACCCCCTGTGCCCCACTGGGTTTCAACAGGAAGCCATGTCTTCATAATAACTAAGGCACAACAGCGAAACAAGCCACAGGAAGCATGGCTCAACACACCTATCTCACACAGACATTATAGTCCCACCCAAACATACTTGCATGTATGTTATTGATCTCCATTTGGATTCCTCACAGTCTTCCCGTCTTCCTGCAGTTCCCTGACCTGTGCAAGGTGGAGACGAGGGGTCAACATCTCATCCTGTGGATCTCCTGTGGTTCATTTGCTTTCTTGTCGGTCATTTTGGCTCTTTCATATTCAGGTAATGAATATATGTTTAAAATAGTTGTTCCTACTGTAAAACAAACATGGATACATTTATAACAAAAGCTAAATAATCCCAAATGGATGGGAGTCATTTGATTAAAACTTCAGCAAAATCCTTTCAGTTAAAAAAATGGTTTCCCCACTTCAGACACAGGGACAGGTTCATGTCTAAACTCAAGAGTATGAGGGTTAGCACCCCGTACGGTGACTCTCCACGGCCTGCACCCTCCGCTCAAAACACCTCCAGAAGGACATGCTCTGGTGACCTTTGCCCCTCCTTGTAACAAAGAACCCCCACCGAGCGAAATGGAAGAAAGTAAAGAAGAAAATGAAGAAGAAAGTGAAGAAGAAAAAAGAAGAAGAAAGTGAAGAAGAAAGTGAAGAAGAAAAACAGCACCTGAAGGAGAGGATAGACGCCTTGCATTTCAACAACCCAAGTTATTTCTTCCCCCAAAGGGATTGATGAACAGGCAAAAGGGGAATAAAACAATCCATATCCAGTGTGATATATTATGGAAAGGATAATGGACTTAAAACGTTGATGGTTCTCCAATGAGCTTGTGTTGCAATCAAACTCAGCTTGTATAGTATTTTTCTATCTCTATCTGATGCCTTGAATACCTCTGAAAGACTTTTTTGTTGTATTTGTCATATGAAGAGCAGTAAAGCTATACTCTCTCATTTATCTGTGGCAATTGAAAGACCTGATAAAACAGCAGGCTATGTCGTCTAATTCTAAAGCTACATCTAGCCGACCAACTCCTGTTCTGTTGGTATACACTTTTATTAAGCTTTATCGACTATATTACTTGCTTCATGTCTTTTCAGTTTCCACATATTTTTTTACAAGATTTTCAAAAGCGATTGCAAAACGGGATGTGATGTTTTCTTTTATTTTTGAATAAATATGGTCTGATGACCGGAAAAAGGTTATGGCATACAAGTGTAAATTCAGTCAGCTGCAGAACTTTTTACGTGTTTAGGAATATTTTACCAAAGCACAATATAAATCAATATAACACAGGGCTAAAAGTGATTTATTATTTAGATGTCTCTGCACTAAAATATAGTTTTAAGACCTGTGGTTATATGCTTCTATCAAGCATGGGAAAACTGTACACATTGCACAGAGAGGAGGAGGGACAGAGTTGTTATTCAGGCCCAGAGGCTCATTTTAGCCTTGAGGCCCCAAATAGCAGCTGAATACAGCCATGCTGGGATACTGAACGTCAAAAAGCATTTTTAAATAGTTTTCAGTCTCAATATACTGAAGCTAGAACAGTTCCCTAATCACCCAGCCTCTAAAATGTTTTCTTCATGCAAAAATCCATCTTATAGGACTTAACTGGAATGTGGTGTTATACATTTACAAAGTTGAATGGTGGCTGTCAGTGTTGAAACTGCACTTCAGCTGCCATGGTGTTTTACTGCAATATTACAGAAGAGTCAAAACATGTAACTTTAAAAAAGGTCTAAGCTGACATAACACTGCAGTTTTCACATGATGTATTTCTGAAACCGAGAAGAAAAGAGAGAACAGTCACCCTATATCAGACAGAGAAGGTGCTTGAGCTTCCAAACAAGGATTCAATAGCACAAATGAATGTTGTCTTGATGGACTACAAGTTAAAGACATATTAGAAAGACTGTCAAGAAACAATACACACATTGAATATAGCCTAGATATTTCTTAATATAGCAACAAGCTAATATGCAACAATCCAGGCTATAGAAGAGCTTTCTATAGGGAGGGGGATGTTGGCTATTTTAGCATATCATAATTATTTTTGCTATAAAGTGAATAGATTACATGTTTGTGTGATGATGGCTGAAGCCTGGTGTTGGCACACCGTGTATCCCCATGGTTGCTCATGCTATAATGTTGAATTGTGTATATTAACTGTGATTGATCAAAGTAAAATGCAACCCAAAGTCCTTTATACAATACAAACCCCAAACCCCTCCTCCACACAGAAAGCGATACATTACTTTGTAGTTAATAACACTCATACAACAATAATTACAGCATTTATTAATAATAAAATAAAAATCCCATAAATCTTCAGCGAGGATACAACAGTCCGTCCTTGTATTGAAAAGTGTGTGTGACTGAAAACTCACACATTTGCAGAAATGTTAGTCTTTTTTTTGTCTTCTGCTGCCGCCTAGCGGACGCAGCCGTTAGTTGTTGGAGGTTGTTTCCATAGTAACAGTTGTTAGCAGCAGCCATGTCAGTAACAGGTGGACAGATCTGAGCGTAACATGGCTCCGGTCTGTAAGGTGATACATTAGACCAATATTTGTAGAGAAAATATGTCTGGAAAAGGGGATTTAGCTAAACTGGACGTTGGTGTATTAACTGCTGATCAGCAGGAGAAACTTCGACAGTTCAAGGTAACAGTGTGTCATTCACACGCAGCCACAACCCGCAGCTGGATTTGTATGTTGTTGACTAACCTGAAATGCTTTTTCTTTTTAGATCAAGACGAGAATTAACAATGAGAAGTATTTGAGATCACATCCAGAAGTGGAGGTATTGATAGGTGACTTTTTAAGGTTAGTTAACTTACATTAAACCAACTGTTCTTTGCTCACTGTGTCTGCTGGTAGTAGCCTATTTGGGATAGAGACTGAACAATTAATTGTATATCACAAATGAGTGTTCTGTGTGTCCATGTGAATAGGATGTCAGGTAATGCCTTTATGCAGGGACTTCTATCTTCTCGTCAGGGTTAAAGGGTCTTTCTGATATGCTATACTGTAGTATCATGTTTTTTCTGGTTCTTATAACCAACAATGACTTTTATTTTTTATTATTTTTATAATAAATTATATCATGCATTTTTATAATTATTATGACATACTGACTTTTTATGATTGTTATCAGATGCTATACAAAGTAGCTTCAAACGAATACGAACCTTGTATTGATGTATCTTGCAGCTTATTTGAAAGAAACAGGCGATGTATTTTAAGATACTTTAGAATCTGCCTCCGACAATGAGTGTATCTGACTCTAAGTAATATCAGTTGATCACATTTTAAGGTGAACTCTTTATTTTAAACACTCAAAGGGCACAGTTTCCTCAATATACTTTGTACTTCTGCAGTTGTAAAGTTACTAATCACATTTCTTGTCCTCCTCTCACAGAGATGTGCTTCTAAAAAGGCCTGCGGACATCCGGGATTTCGCTGCAGGTGAGGCACGCACGCTCGCACGCACGCACGCACGCACGCACGCACGCACGCACACACACACACACACACACACACACACACACACACACACACACACACACACACATGAAAATACGTCAAAACGACTCTTGGTGTGGATCAAAAAGTGCATCTAATGGGTTGAAAAAATAAATAAATGCTCATAAATACTTTGTGAGGCATTTGTAAAGACATGCTCAAATGTAATTTGAAGGAATAGGAATATGGCTGAGGAGAAATGATGAGGAATGGACTAAAAAGCACAAAAATATGAGATGATGTTAGCCTTGTGATGTTAACCTTAAATGTACCCCAGGAATAGTTGCTGCCATGGTTATCACAATCCAAATTAACAATACTGTCAAGATATACATGCTCATTTTAAACCACTAATACCTGTCAATGTTTTCATGCCAGATCACTTCACCAATCCAGACCTTCATGTGTTAATCGGCTCCAAAATGGAAGGAAACATGGAGTGAAACACACCCAACAGTCACAGTGCTTCCCCTTTTTGCCTTCTCTGTACAGAGCAACACATGTATGGACTAAGACACAAATACATTTACGTCAGTCCACTTGATAGCGTTATTGTCCGATTTCCCATCATACACATGCAGGAAGCCAACAGATGGGGAAGATGCTAACTGTATTTCCTAATAAGAGTGATTAAAAGGTTAATGAGGAGAGGATGTCCTGTGGGTCTCACACATACATTACACTGTGCTGTTGGCCACATCACCAATATGATTGTTCAAGGCTGCATTTTGTGTTTACTGCTTTCAACCATTATTTCACCAGAACCATCTACCATGTGGCCCGCGTTGTGGGCACACAGCTGTTATAGTCCGCATTGATCTGGATATGGGCCAGTCAAGACTGATTTATTTCATGATGATGCTGCAGTTTTTGTCTTTCTAATTTTTAAAACTGTCTTAAAGTCTTTCTCTTTTTTAAACATATGTTCGTGTTTGTGCCATTGAAAGTAAGGAAAAGGAAAAGTTATAGATTGCCAAAAGACTAAAGAAGTGAACACTTTATGGAATTTTTCTTTCAGATAAATGTGTGTGTGTTCAATTCAACTCCACCGTTTCACCTAATCCTACTTCTACAACGACCTTAATATTCAAATGTGCTCGGTTTCGGTTGTCACAGCTCTGTATTCAGGAGCTTATGTTTGCCCACTTGCTTTATGGATTGTGTAAATAAAGCCTTTACCGTGCGGTTACCTTTCCTTTGTTTCCTTTAAACTCTTTATATGGTTGTTGTTTGTGGTTTTATAAGTGTGTCCATCTTTTCCTGCTTTCATTTAAAATAATGTTTAATCTGACGAATTATCAGAACATCCAATCATACAACCTCCCAAATAAATGTACAAATGTGCATCTGATCTCAACTCAATCCTATGTGATCTATTGTCGGCTTGTAGTGTCTGATTTGTTCTGTTTTTTAAAACATTAAAATAGGAGCTGCAATGTAGCTATAAAGGTGTGTTCACTTACTGAATAATGCATAATGCTCTTCTGTTTCTCTCTCTCATGACACACACACACATGCACACACACACACACACACACACCACACACACACACACACACACACACAACACACACACACCACACACACACACACAGAGCATGTCTTAAAAGCACGTCTTAAAAGCACGCACCTGCTTTGCCTCAGTATAGGACAGGTAACCATCGAGCCAACCCACATCACAGGAGAGAGAGACGAGGAACATCTCTCACTTTTCTCTAAATCTTGTTTTTTTTGCGTTGATTCTGAAATCTGCCTGGGAGCTGACATAGATTTGGTAAGTAAAAACTAATGTATATATTATGAATTCGTTTTTTGTTTCCTTTGAGAGACATAACTCTGTTTTCAAAGATTCAGATTCAAAGGTTTTAATGTCATATGCACATACAGTAAGCTACACTGTAGATGCAACACATATAATAAAATACAAATGAAAAATAATGCAAGAAGTCTATATGAGATAAGATATTACTTTATTGGTCCCAATTTGGGAAATGTTTGTGTTGCAGCAGCATAAAAAAACATGGCATTGTACAATACAAATTAAAAGACAAGAAATAAACAAGAAAGTAGAAAATATACATGTTGAATTTACAAATTAACAATGATATAAAGCAAGGTATTATATATACATAAGTATGTGACAGATAGAATATTAAATATATACGTTAACCCTGGATTGCAACCTTATTATGTTGAAGCTGTGACATTTCTGTTACATTTACATGTATACTACACTTATTTTTGTATGTTTTAATAGTTTTTTTTAATCCTTGATGAAAGATTTATATCTATGATTACCAAGCAAAATAATAATATTGCATTACAATCTTGTTTGACTTGAATCTTTAGTGTAATATTTGTTAACTCTAACAATGCCTTGTCATCATTTGGCACATTTAATGAGAAGTCAAATCAAGGGAAAGTATACAAATGGAGTCAAAATAGCATCATGCAAATGTGTGATAGTTATCACGAATGCGTGAGAAAGAGAAATGAGGAACATCAAGTTAAAGTGAGTGCAGAAGTGATCGAGTAAGAGGGGAGGAAGAGAGGAACATCATGTAAATTACCAAACATGTTTTTCACAGCATGCCATTCTCTGAAGTCCAATAAGCTTCCCTAGGAGGAGAAACAAAAGTGGTAACTACATCACAAATCCTCAAAGGAGGAAATCAGAAAACTGGAGGGGGAGTCATGGAGACAGGTTCCATAACAAAGAGAGACATAATTACAAAACCCTTTAACCTACTGTTTAGGGAAAGAAATGTATCACCACAAAGTACAAGGAGTTCCCTTTTAATATTTGTTTCTATTAACGCTCTCATTGAATTGTTTACTTGCGTTCAACAGACAGGCTGGCAGGTCTTTTCACCATGGCTCCCAAAGGAGGAACATGTTGCTTTCTTCTCATCTTGGCGTGTGCAGCCTTGGGTAAGCATCAACACCATCACCTGCAACTTCTCCAGGTGCATGGCCACAGGCATGCATTTTATTTATGTGTACAAAAAAACTTGTGTTTTTATATAACTATTTATTACTACATTTTCAGCTAAGCCACCAGATCCTGATATTAAATCTGACATCAAAGACATTTCCAGGAGACTGGTAAGTCATTTCTCTCTTCATCAAGTCCAACACATTATCTTTATAGTCACCGTTTTTTTTTCTTAAAAAGAGAATATTTCAACATCACATTAAGACTGTGAAAAGCTTTAGTCAAAAGAGTCATTCTTAAATAAAATAGGACAGTGAGTTAAAGTTATTACGAACATATAAGGGCAAGCAAAGTGGCTCTTCTGATTTGGTTTGAATATTTTAATGTGAATGCGTTCTCATTGTTTTTTAACCCGTTTGTTGCCACATAAAACATATTTGAAGTACTTTGGTAGAAAGTATTTTATCTCAAAATCTTTTTATTTATAAAATCATCAAGTTTAGAAAAAGTATGATAAAAAAAAGGTTATTTCGGTTTTGTCACAGAGAGAACATTTGTTTTGTAATATGGCCAACACATCACTTGTATTGCAGGCCTTTCAGCTTCATGAACACACTTTGTGCCTTACACTCATAGATTGTATATAAAGCTTACACTTAATCACAGCCAGTATCATGTTGCTAGTCTATTCACTTCTTTTTTTCACATTGTTTTAGTAATCTCATACTTTGTTTTGTTTAACTACTGTATACAGTTAATCATTTCTAACCTTTAACATTAAGGATGTTATGTCTGTCTTTGTTTCAGATGAAGAAGTGCCTGAAAAATGGTGAGGGAACGCTCAATACACTATAATTGTTAAATGAACGTGTGTGTGTGTGTGTGTGTGTGTGTGTGTGTGTGTGTGCGTGTAACATTAGACAATGCTGATTCACTGAATATAGGCAGTGTATGTTTGCATGCAAAGTGCCCTCTGTAACCCGAGTCAAAGCGAATACATGGCAAATACTCAACACTGGCCGAGTCCTGATGTGTTTTAACTGTGCAACATATTATTATGGGGGATGCTGTTTTACAGGGTATCCGGAGCCCAAGATGCTGCCGATAACTCTCTTCAAGAATTGGTAATTCTGTGTGTCTGTGTGTGTGTCTGCTGTGTGTTCGGTTCATTTCCTGGACCTGTTCAAATGCTGAGCTGCCTTTTTATTTTTTCAAACTATTTGGCTACAAAATAATCTGAATAATCAACAATCTATTGTTGTTGAAACCATCCTAATCAAGGTGTTTAACCCAAACTGCTTTAATAGAGGTGAAAAGTGGAAGACTATGGTTGACTGTGCAGGATGTATATGAAGCAAAGTAATGACAGACATTAATCAGCAGTAAAACACAAAACAAACTATTTTAAACTATTTTTTACTCACCACATTTTTTTTTTTTAACTCTCATTTCTCAGTGACTTGGCAAAGGCGGACCTGGAAAGCATGGTTTCAGGCTCTTCCAACAAAGACCCACAAGTGGATGTAATGGTGTGAATAAACCATGGACAACATATAATACGAATTAACAAACATAGGATCACTTAAACCACAAAAGATTTCTTCAGACAACAAAAGGATTATTGTTATTGTTTATTTTAATCTTTAAAATTGCTATCTTGACGGTTGATTTTGTGTATGTGTTGTTCAACTCTTTGTTTCTCTCATTTTAGACAAACAAGAAATGTCTTCTAGCCACAATCGAGCAGATGCGGAACTACTCCGTCAGTATTCCCCACTAATGCCAAGATCTTGTAAAAAATAAAACATGATGCATTAACAAGTGCAGCTATATGGTAGTCTAATAAATCCTACCATCTCTCTTATTCCCTCAGATGCCATCTTCATGTCACATGCAAGCGATTGTGGCCTCTATCTCCTGGGAGATGTTGACCAAACAGAGTGAGAACATGACGTCAGATGAATATGACACACTGTTGGGGGCCTCCAAACCTGCTCTAGGAATGAAACTTCCTCGTGATGTAGGAAAGCGCCAAAACCTGAAAAAGTGGTGAGTTTGGATTTATGCAACTGCCTTCTCCACTGTCTCTCATCAACTGTTTTTAAAAGTGCAAAATTGGTAATTTGTTCCAGGATGGACATGCTGAAGGAGACATTTGTTGGCATGTCTGAAGACCAAACGACTCAGGTGGTAAAATGGGAGAAAGAGCAGATCATGGAGAAGTACTTCAACTGTACAACGAGGCCAGCAGCTGATCCAAGATCAAGTAAGAAAAGAGATAAAGCCAATGGATGCAGTAACCTTTTTTCACAATAATCTTAGTCAAACATTTCAATACAATCCATTCACTAAGAAGTGGAGAAAATGTCACTCTCTTATGTTAAATAGAAAGAGGAAAGAAAGAGGGCAGAGAAGTAAGAAAATATCAACACATCCTCACTCCCAGGTCGGCGTATGTTGACGTTATGTCAAGGTCCCCTGTGGTCTTTTTCCAACGCAAGGGCCCTTAGCGTACATTTTCAACTTTCCGGGATGTCCATAGGCTTCTTGAGATCGCGAGCGAATGCTTCCCGCCGCGGGCCATTCTCTGCTGAAGCATACGTTGCTGCATTGCATTAAAAACATTATGCTCTCTATATATTGTCTTTATTATGCTTTAAACAGTGTCTTTGGCTATAGGGCGGCTCAAAGTATTTTGTCCGGCCGTTGTGAAGACTGCTTTGTTTATTGTCCTTGTTTTGTTTTAAATAAAGCATTTTCAATCCAGGCACGCCAAACATGTGACGTCATATGACGCGTCGCACAGGGAGCATGGAGGGAGACCCAGGGGAGACCCCGAGATCCGTATTCCCCGTATTTTTTAAATAAAGAGATGCTTTACGGGCGCGCATCAAACGTGTGACGTAATGTGGTATTAAAAGAGGTGAAAATCACTACAAGTCTGGGCATGTTGAGAGCTGTACATACACACACATTTCATAGTCTTATATTTCAACAGTTTTACGACAAACTGTGACTTTTTTGACATGGAAATTATTTAAGATTGACAAACATCATATGTGTAATTCGTGGCACAATTCAAACGGGATCGAAAGATAATCCTTCTCTCTCCATTGACTTCAATGCATACTTTTTCCGAAATAAGATCCCATGGGGCGGAAGTAGATGGGCGTGACATCACCACTCTATGGACATCCCGGAAAGTTGAAAATGTACGCTAAGGGCCGCCCCCTTGCGTTGGAAAAAGACCACAGGGGACCTTGACATAACGTCAACATACGCCGACCTGGGAGCGAGGATGTGTTGAAAATATAGGTGGCACGAAGTGAAAGGGACAGAGGGTAAGACCTAATAAAGTAGAAGTGACAGCACAGAGGGAAACACAATCAGAGGGGAAGAAAGATGGAGATATAGAGAACAAAAAGCACGGCGAACCAAGCATCTGAAATAAAAGAAAGGATGAAAACAATAGACAGGCAGGGGTGTGTTAGAGTGGGAGCTGGACAAGCCTCT